GCATGCTTGAGGTTTTGCTTTACTTTTATGACATTTCCATGTAGGCAGGATGTCCTTTCTTTAATGACATTTCAGGTGGGTAGTGAATAGTACTAAGTGCTAATAATTAAGTTACATGGTTCTCTCAGAGTAAGTGCTAACAAATGCAGTAGCCAACAACAGGTACCATAGAAGCATCAAGGAGAACCAGAGTATGAGAGCCAGTCAGATCAGACTATAGCTAGAGTAGCTGTCTGATGAATATGAGTAAAGAGAGAGGATTCACTGAAGAGTGTGAAAAAGGGTGGTGATGGATGGGTTTTAGTCTGTGGATAATGGAAAATTCAGTGATGGTGTCTAAGTGGTCCAAGATTAGCAACAGAAGATTCTAGGCTTAAATCACTATAGAATATTATTATTTAGGAACATTAAGACTCTCGATCCTACCTGATTCTTTGCTTGGGAGGGAAAATTTTTCACTGTATTAAAAAAAAAAATCATATCCTCATCTCTTGAGATCTGAAGAAAATGGAAGTAACAATGGTAAGGGAAAAGTTTCATCTCTAAGGAATAATCTTTCTTGAGAGGCTGGTAAGCATTTCATTGGGTACTCCTGGCTGTTTACTCACCCTGGTTTTCCCTCTCAGGGGAATGGAGTGAGGCCGGTGGCCGGGTCTGCTGAGTCCGCAGCACTCAGACTACGTGCACCTCTGCAGCAGGTGCAGGCCCAGTTGTCATCCCCTCAGAACATCTCCCCGTGGATTCTGACAGTGTTGACTCTTCAGACTCTGAGGTAGGGACCATTCTGTCTTACTAAGAGCTGTATAACTGGGTCATTTCATGTCCTTGACGTCTGACATCCCTGATGGGGCAAAAGTTCGTCTCAGGATGAAAGTTCGTTTTAGTGGGTTAGAGATGAACATCAACTATCTCCTTAGTTCTCAGAGGCTTAGGACATGGATAAACAAGTCAGTTGGGTCCTAAGGTCATCTTACAGCCTCAGGCCATAAGATTACATTTTGAAGCCCAGTACTAAGAGTGTTCTTAACAGATTCTAGGTAGCCTAATAGTTGCACTCTTATTTTTTGCCTCTTGCAGTCTGATATCCTTTTGGGCATTCTGGACAACTTGGACCCCGTCATGTTCTTCAAATGTCCTTCCCCAGAGTCTACCAGCTTGGAGGAGCTACCAGAGGTCTATCCAGAAGGACCTAGTTCCTTACCAGCCTCCCTTTCTCTGTCAGTGGGGACGTCATCAGCCAAGCTGGAAGCCATTAATGAACTAATTCGCTTTGACCATGTATACACCAAGCCTCTAGTCTTAGAGATGCCCTCTGAGACAGAAAGCCAAACTAATGTGGTAGTAAAAATCGAGGAAGCACCTCTCAGCCCCTCTGAGAATGATCACCCCGAATTCATTGTATCGGTGAAGGAAGAACCTGTAGAAGATGACTTCATTCCAGAGCTGGGCATCTCTAATCTGCTTTCATCCAGCCACTATCTGAAGCCATCTTCCTGCCTGCTGGATGCTTATAGTGACTGTGGGTATGAGGGCTCCCCTTCCCCTTTCAGTGACATGTCCTCTCCACTTGGTGTGAACCATTCTTGGGAGGACACTTTTGCCAATGAACTCTTTCCCCAGCTGATTAGTGTCTAAGGACTGTTGCCCTTTTCCTTGACTATTGACCCTGCCAGGAGGAGAGCAGACAAGCCTAGCTGTGCTTTATTCAAAAAGCCAAAGTAGAGGGCTGGGGTTGTGGCTCTGTGGTAGAGTGCTTGCTTCATGAGGCACTGGGTTTTATTCTCAGTACCACATATAAATAAATGAATAGAATAAAGGCCTATCAACAACTAAAAAAAACCAGAGTGAATTAAAAAAAAAAAAAAGCCAAAGTAGAGGGCAGACAGTCCTAGATTCAGACCTCAGATGACTCCAAGTATTGTCTTTTCATATCCAGCAGTCCAAGTTACTCACACGTATTACTATAATTTAGAGCTACAACTTTTGAGATTGTACTTTCAAGGACAGTAGTTTGCCCTATGATTCTTATGTAAGGGTCATCTGATGCGTCTTAGAGTAGACAATGGAATTTATGAATGGCCTCTTACCAGTTTTTCTTACCCCTTCTCAAGCATCAAGGCTTGCCTCCAATTTTAGGTCCTTTAGTTTGCCTCTGCAAACAGAAAAAACACCTATCTGAGGGGGCTCCTTTTTCCTTATGAATAGATTCAAGTAAAGATCAAGAATCTTGTAAAATTATATAGAAATTTACTATGTAAATGCTTGATGGAATCTTTTCCTGCTACTGTAGTTTCTGGAAGGTGCTTTCTTCATTTATTTAAAACTACCCTTGCAATTAAAAAGTGCAATGCAGTGTCCATGTTCTTTGACTTTTTCTAGGATCATAAGTCATTTTTTCCCCTATAGATGCCTCACTGTTTCCAATTTATCCAGCTAAAGTGCACGTTGTTTTCTAGACTGACTGAAGACTTTTCCACCTTAATCACTGCCTGTTTCAATTCCTGGTTGCCACAATGCTAAAATGTACAATCTGAGATAGTTCCTTCAGCCTAACTGACCAATACCATAGCTAGTAGGTGGCAGAGCTAGAACCCTATTGTTTTGCTATACCATTTTGGGAATTTAAGAGGGCATAGCATCAAAAATCAAGATTCTCTTGCCATTATTACAGGAATTAAGAGCATATCCTAGATTCTGATCCCATGGTTTCAACTCTTGCCATTGGTGAGCTGGGTAACCTTGCAGGTATATGCCATCACTTCCTCAATTATAAAGGATAATAGTATCTTTCTGAAGAACATTAAAGGATGCCTTAAAAGTATGTCATGCCAGGCACCAATGTAAGCAAGAGAAAGTTTTTTTTATCTCCTAATCTGCTTTGTAAAGTCTTCAGTCTCTTATACTTGTATAACAGTATGTTTCACAAAATACTTCTGTTCAAAAAAGCAGAAACAAAATAGTCCCAAACTACAGACTTGACAATATCATCCTTCATGGTGCACTGCATTTTTTCCTTGGGAATTTCCTTATTTATAGAATTATTTCACAGATGAAATTATCTATGAAATTATTTCACAGATGAAATTATCCTATGTCCATTTAGCAATTAAATGACATGTTTCTTAGAGTTATTAAGACTACCTCTGGGGAGGTCAAAGTGAATGAATCAAAAGGAAGGAGGGGGGGCTGGGGTTGTGGCTCAGTGGTACAGTACTTGCCTAACATGCACAAGGTGCTGGGTTTGATCCTCAGTACCACACAAATGTAAAATAAAGATTAAAAAAAAGGAAAGAGGATTCAGAGAATCCCAAGCAGCAAGGCAAAGCAGGCTATAGTTTCAGACAAGTACAAAGGAATGTACTGGTTGAGGTGACTGAAGTGGGTCCACAAGTGCACTTGCAGGCAGGCAGATCTGGTGGCCTGAGTCCAATCCTATGACCCAGCAGTGCAGGTTTACTTAGACTGTTTCTATATTGCAAATGTAAGGATGGTCTCCAGTTGTCCCCACGGTTGAAAACTATCTTGCCTCATTCACTATGAAAAGTTGAGGGCCAAATATCTCTTTAAGGATTATATAAGCCAGTGCATTCACAGAGGCATTTTTGTCCTCCCACAACAGCACAAGCATCTGGAGGTTGAAGCTCAAGTCATTTACATCAAATGGCATCATATGAAAGAGGCAGCTGTGCCAACAGGAGAGGACATATGTAACCTGAGTAGTTTTCATTTCCTGAACAGATGGGTGAGAATTACTAAACACTGCTCAGCCTTGAGAAAACACCTGGTACTCAAGGACATTTTCATATTGAAACACCAAATTGAATGGTTTTAACTAAAAATCAAGATTTTTCCATAACACCAAAACAAGAGCTCTATTAAATGCAAAGGGGTGTTTCATGATTAAGATTAAAGATGCAAGTGACAAGATGCCTACAATCATTTCCTCCTTGCTTTTCTACTAGAGGTGCTACTGGAGCTGAGACAAATAGGCAGACGGTAACAATGCCTATTCCAGGAGTATTTTAAAGTATCAAATTCTAGTTTAAGACTCTATACCCCTGTGACTTGGGACTCTATCGCTGGCTGACACACCAAATGGGTGTTGAAACACATCATTGTTTCGCTGGAGCTCAAGTCTCAACACTTCTTGGCTGCACTAAGGATTGAACCCAGGAGTGTTTTACTGCTGAATTACATCCCATCCTTTTCACTCATTTTACATTGAGACAGGGTTTCATTAAGTTTCCAAGGCTGGCCTCAAACTTGCAATCCTCCTGCCTCAGCCTTCTGAGTAGCTGAGTTTGCAGATGGGCACCACTGTGTCCACCTCTGAACCATACCATTTCAATGAAATCTAAATGACATATTAGGTACTGCTACAAAAAGATTCTGTAAAACCAACTGACCAAGAACAACCCTGGATCTGAGTTGGATTATAATACTAAAGCATCACTTCTAGCTATTATTTTCAATTTTGGTTAAAAACAAAACAGTATCTTTTGCTTTCTGTTAACTATAAGCCAAAGGTAACTTCCCCTCTCCAGCAAGTCAGGGATCCACATTTATCAAAGAATGGCCACAAATATGCAAGCAACACTGCCACCCAGCGACCTGTCAACTCGTAAAGCATGTAACTAACCATCATAGAATTTTCCTATCCCTCATTCTTGAAGATCCCAAACCCTTCTTTGTGAACTCTAGAAACCATTTCCAGTTTCAGAATTGCACATTTTTAACATGATCATAACTGCTTTCTAATACTGACAATCCACATTAGTGAGTTGCTCTCAGTGGGAAGCATTCTACAGGTTTCAGAATGGCAAAACACAGTCTGCCTCCTGCTAATCTCAGCTATGAAATTTATCTTTAATCCAAAATACTCATCCATTCGTGACAATTTATGTTCCTCATTGATATGAATGCTGCTTCAATCACATCTTAGAGGAAAGCAAAGAGAGTAGCTATTTCATTTACTTAAGTGCAGGAATACAAATGTCTCAAAAAGTCCAAAACACTTAAGAAGTTTTATTAAAAATGATAAAATACAGAAACACCAGATTCTCATTTTAAAGTAAAAATGACAGCATCTTCCAGAACTTTTCTAGTACTGCACCAAAAACAAAACCAAGTTCCAGATCCAAAAGAACAAATGAACCTGCTGGTAAATTTTTCTCATGGTTCTAACCCCTACCTTCTTAATTTTTCTAAATTTTACATTGTACCTGGTTCTAGAATGAGTAGCACTGAAAAAAACCGATTAATATTTGTGAGAACTGGACTTTCTTCAAATTAAAAAAAAAAAAAAAAACACCACACGCATACACGCACACACCCTATTCAAACTCAGAGGAAAATATACATTTGTTCATTAAAGCTCACCTGCTTTAGATTATTTTTTTTTTCTCTTCACACATTAGCATCGTAAGCCAATGTTTGATCCATGCCGCAAAAACTGTACAAAACAAAAAGATCTGTTAATTCCCAAGAGAAACCTGAAGACAAAAGCAAAAGCCTTATGCTACAAAAGAAAAATAAAATGTACTGGGGCGGTGGAGACGGCTCAGATGAATAAGCACCACAAGGATGATGAAGAAAATTTTTGTACAAACATACGCAAGAATATAAAAGTCCAAACATGAGCATTAAACATCCATTTTCCTGCAGAAATAATTTTGTCAGATAACTTGACTCAGAAACAAATGCTTGGATTTTAATTAACAGAATCTCAATTGTCCCCTATGTTACCCGTTGTATTAGAGCCTCATTTTGGAGCTCTCCCTCCCTTCTCATGGTGCAGACCCCTGATCAGAGGCTCCTTTCGACAATTTCCACAGAAGATACTCTTGGTGTGTTTTGGATCTGTCTTTGGAAAGCTGCCATCTGCCTTTCCACCCTAACACTGGGACTAACTCCAAACCCTAGTAAGTCCCTTCATGCTTTTGAGTTGTACTAAAACAAACGTTTAGCACAGAGATTTCTTTAAGGCTATAAACTTTACAAGTTGGTCCCATTAAACAATGACCTCAAGGCAGGAGTTTTTCAAACTGCATGAATCAAACACTTGCACATTTCAACAGAATACAGTTTACATTCATCTCTAAGTTTGAGATTAAGAAACTATTAGCTGGTTTCCAACTGGTTTCAATACTGGTTTGAAGTTTGAATAATTTTACTGTGTAGACATTAAATATTTTGTTTAAATATTAAACATTAAATCTTTTCCTGACATCCAGACAGAAATACAGAAAGCAGAAACAACAGGCAAGAGAAGAAACAGTCTAACAGACTTGTGACTTCTACACCATCTGTAACAAGGGGAGGGATTTCAGCATGGGTTTCAAAAATGCCTGGAAGCTGGTTTCTATAAATTCACCTCTACTTGGCATAAACCAATTTTTTTTTCTACAAAAGGTATCTCTTTCTTACAAAGGGAGAAGAAACCAAAAAAATAAGAACTGGGGTGGTCTCCTGTTGGGTGATGAAAGGGCCAGTATTACACTCATTTAATAACGTCTAGTGAGTGTTCTGTAGCAATGAAGAAATTGTCATTTTACCTTGCATGGAGTCCTTGCGACACATAAGAGCTCTTCCTGAGAAATTAAGAACTTTAATCCTAGCTATTCCCAAAGGACATCTTGAGCCTGGTTCAGGTACTCAAGAAGATAAAGATTTCCTGCTAGCAGGAAGCCATCCTCTATTAACTTGAAGGCTTACTGCACAATAATTTAAGCACCAGACAAATTGGCTATTTCAGTAAATCTCAATGTCATTTGCCCATATATATTCTCAATTAATCATTCACTGTTTTTGAAATTAACATTTAACAACTCAACTTCTTAATACTATCTTGCCTTTTTTTTTAAACTATACAGGTTATCAATGCTGGGTTCAGCTGACACTGCACTTCTTCAGGATTAATTAAAGGATGCTTGCTTCTCCCATAGGCGATTTGCAGATGGGTTAGCTCACAATCTTTTTAACTATCAAAGTTAATTAAGCTGTAAACACTGCCGAACAACCTGGTTTATCAACTCTGCAAGGGAGACCAAGGAGCAACATTAGAAGGAAAAAACCTTTTCTTTGTATTTTCATCGAATTTACCTGAGGCACAGAGAGCCACATGCTATTTATAGCCAGTCACATGCTAGCTATATAATCAACACAGCTATGTTGAACTGACAACTAATACACATATTTCATAGCCTCTGTTAAATTTTTTAGGAAGAGGCTTAAGCTAATGCTTTCTTTCCTCCTGCTCCCCAATCACATATAGTCCCCGCTGTAAACAGCTCAAATCCACAGACTATGCTGTGACTCCCTCTTTCTCATCTTTTTCAACTCAAGAATGTTCTCCAAGTTTATGAATGGCTTACAAAGTGACAGATGACTTCAGTCACCCTTACACATACATATAACTTCTATACTTGCCTTTGAGGAGACTAACACTCCTTTAATAAGCCTGCTAGGTGCTTTTCCCTTAAGACAAGCTTCCTTGGCAAAAAGTTGAAGTCAATAAATGGCTACCCAAAATGAGAGTCCCACCCCAAGTCACAGGTGGAGATATTATTACACCCGTTTCATAAAACTTTCAAGTCCCTATACTAAGCAAGTAGGCTCATCACTAAACACAGGAGCCTCCTAAATTTGACAACTGTAGTGTAGAAACTGGTTTCTAGAGTTCCATCTCTTCTTCTGTGCTAGCAGCTGTTTCCAAACTAGTGTAAAGAGGCATCCCTGTTTGCCGAGGTTCCAAGAACAGTTCAGTCCTCTGCGGGAAGGCAGTGCCAGCAGATGCATGTTTAGTTTGGCTCTCTCCCGTGTAGTTCTTAGCATTAGATGATGGCTTTGGCTTATCAGAAAGGAGTTCAGGGAGAGGTTTCCAGAGCACAAGCTCCATGGAAGGACGGCTCCTAAAATACAAAATAGATTTTTATCAGGAAGGCACTAAAATACATAAAATCTCACAGTTCTGTAATTTTTTTTTGGGGGGGGGGGCCAACTGGGGAACCACACATCTAGGGTTTCACATGTGCAAGACAAGTGCTCTACCACTGAGCTATATCCCCAAACCTATATATATTCTTAACCAAACCAACTAGTTGTACTGATGCTGTGGTTACAAAGCAATATAAACATCCAATGTAGAAAACAGAGTCTTTGATTTAATGATGTAATTTTGGTGAGGGGCGGGGTATTGAACCCAGAGACATGTTATCACTAAGCTACATCCTCAATTCTTTTTTATTTTAAGACAGTTGCTGAGGTTCCCTGACCTTGTGATCCTGCTGATTCAGCCTCCTGAGTGGCTGGGATTACAGGTGTTCACCATTATGCCTGACTAATGTTATTATATTTTTAATGGCAGATGTGGGTAACTATCTCCTATACCTCACCAATGCTGAACCCAAAGCCTTAAGCATGCAGTGCACTCACTCTACCACTAAGCCACACCCTCAGCCCTATGGGTGAATTATAGCAAATCATTATAAACAAAAACAAAACAGTGGACCAACATATTAAAGTATCTCACATGCCTTTTGCTTAGTACAGTTATAAAGGATAATGCTTTGCAGTTAAGCCAAAATAATCTGTCATGCACATTCAGTCACATATTCTCCCAAACCTTGTGGTAGTGCAAGTTTCTGGGACCCAAGGCAAATAAAGCAAAAATACAACACAATAAAGGACAATCCCAAAGGCTAGCTTCTGGAAAACCGCCAAGAGCAGCAGGTGCTCTGTTTCAGGCTCGAGAGCAAGGTGACCTGCTTACTTTTGGCTAAACTATTTAGTCTCCCCTCAGTACTCGTAGTTAATTATAAACTCAAGCCAGGGTGCTATTGCAAAGCTCTGTGATCTAACACCAAGCAGCAGTTGAACCTCAGTGTCAGAAGGCAATAGTGCCTTATCTCTTTGGCATCAAGGAGACTAGCATCCTCCGAGGCTTTTTTGGACACCCAAAATTCACCTTCACTGGGTACCAAGTGTATACATGGTCTTTTGTAGACAATACTAAAATGGTACTTTAGAACTTGTCTACTACTGTATGCAATATATAATAACCACTTGAGATTGTCCAGGCTCAGGGACTACAGGATTATGGAGGTAATCATTAGTTTTTTTTTTTTAGTTGTAAATGGATCTTTTAATTAATTAATTAATTAATTGATATGCCGTACTGAGGCTCGAACCCAGGGCTTCACACATGCCAGGCAAGTGTTCTACCATCGAGCTCCAACTCCAGCCCCCCCATTAGTTTTTATATTAATGGGTCCCAGGCCACTTTGCTTTTTAGGTTTTTGTGTTTGCATCCCAGTTTTCCTTCCTCAACCTCTGCTATAGTCACTACTCCTCTACCAGGAGTGAGTCTGTTCTGTTCTCACTTGCTCTTTCTCTGCTTCTACTCTGATAATCTAGACAACCAGAAAACTAAGTTTATTAAATCATGTTTTACTTTTTTCCCCCATGGTACTAGAGATGGAACTCAGGACACTCTACCAATGAGTCATACCCCAACCCCTTTTGGTTTTTATTTTCCGACGGGGTCTCATTAAATTGCCAAAGCTGGCCTCAAACTTGTGATCTCCTGCCTTAGCCTCCTGAGTCACCGGGATTCCAGGTGTGTGGCCTGGTTTAAACTATGTCTTAAATTAAGAGCAAAAGAGCTCTGCTAAAGGCCCTGAGAGGCTACATTCTTAGCCAAGAATATGGGCTCTGGTTTGTGGCCTTTGTGATAATTATTTGGAATCCTGGGACACTTTATTTTCTTTGCTGCCTAGGTCTCTATGGTGTCTCTGAAAAACAGAACCAGATAAACCAGAAGTTTCAAAATTAGGTTCCTATATCCTACCATGAGAATTTAAGAGAATGAACTCTCTTGTCAGTTTTCCCTTTCACAAATATTAAACTGCAGTGCATTTCAGAGCTTAAGAACGAACCCAGGAGGAAGGCACCAAGGTAGCCTCTCCTACATACTTCAAACTCTGCTTGCACAACACTGTGCTCACCCACAATCAACTAAGAAAAAGCCTGTCTCCAACCTGCGATGAATATAAACCCACTCTGCTCTCACTTGCCCGGTGAGGAGAAGGTGAAGAGCTGACTAGGACAGGATGAACAGTGTCTAGACTAGATACTGGGCTTTCCTTTCAAGATCATAATTAAATGGAAACCAGATATCAAAACTCACATAGACTCAATCATCTTCTTTGTAAAGACTTCATCAAATTCTCTCTTCAAACCTGTTTTCATGGTGTCAGAAAGGACAAGACTGGGGAGATGGTTAACATTTCTGTCAGCTTCGACTTCTTCATCTTCGTCAATTATTCTAAATAAATTAAGGCAGAAGCAAGGAAAGAAAAAATATTTAGTCAAGTTATTACATATTCTTCTAGAAACTAGACAACATTTCAAAAATAAACAAGATAAAAGCAACAGGTGTTACAGCAAAAGATCAAATTAGGCTACACCTCAGTTTAACACAAAGATGGGCCAGGTGCGGCCAGCAGCTAGAGCAGCTGAGGCAGGAGGATCTCAAGTTCAAAGCAGGCTTCAGCAATTTTTGTCTCTAAATAAAACATAAAAAAAAGCGGGGCTGGGGATGTGGCTCAGGGGTAGAGCGCCCACCTAGCACACGAGGCACTGGGTTCAATCCTTAGTACCACATAAATGTAAAATACAGATATTGTGTCCAACTAAAACTAAAACATAAATATTTAAAACAACTATATAAAAAAAGGCTGGGGATATGGCTCAGTGGTTGAGTGCCCCTGGGTTAAATCTGTAGTACAAAAAATAAAAACAAAAAGATCAAATGATGTCAATGGAAAAGTATGTATGGAAGAGTTGTTTAACATTCCATTTAATAAAAAAGTTTTACAAACAATGGAGTAAAATATGAAGAATGTGTCCCAGAGAACTACTTCATAAACCAAAATAAATATTTATAGATTGTAAATAAAAAATGTTTAGTACAGTTCTATGACAACTCACTTTAACATTTAAAGGGTACACTTTGGATTCCCTGATCTTTATAGTCTTCCTGAGAGGCTGAGGATCACAGTTATTACCAAATGGTTAACTCGATTAGCTTAAAAGAGGAGTGACATTATAAAGGAGCAGCAGCAAGTTAGTTATGTGTGCTGTCCATTTACCTGTCCTCAATCTCCTGAAGCCTCCTTCGGGCAACTTCACATTGTGGTTCTCCAGATGTCTGATCCATTTCTTCAAAAACAGCATCCAACATTCCAGGTACAGAAAGGCCACTAGTGCATGGATTTACTCCATGACCCTCTACATCCTGATGCGTACAGAGAATCCAATTATTTGGACCAGCACAAAGTTCTGCTTCAGTAAGTCGTTTCTTTCTTACTGGACACCTGGGAAAAAGAAAGGAGAAAAAAAAAAGGAAGGAAATTCAATAAAAACCCCAATCATCTCTATCTGTAACCAAAATCTTTATTTGGTTAAATTATTTTTTTGACATTGTGTTAATATAAGATAGAAAGTTATCCATTTCCCTGCCTGTGACTCTCAGTCTCTCTGAGACACTTTCTTCTACTGTTCTTCACCAACTAAGCATCAGCCAAGATTTTACCTATTAAGATTACAAGCATTCAATGAGGGAACTTAAAAGAGGTGGCACATGCCTGTACTCCCAGCGGCTCAGGAAGCTGAGGTAGGAGGATTCTGAGTTCAAAGCCAGCCTCAACAAAAGCAAGGTGCTAAGCAACTCAGTGAGACCCTGTCTCTAAATAAAATACAAAATAGGGCTGAGGATATGGCTCAGTAGTCAAGTGTTCCGGAGTTCAATCCCAAGTACCCTCCCACCCCTGACAAAAAAAAGAGGCTGGGGTTGTGCCTCAGTAGTAGAGCATTTGCCTAGCATATGTAAGGCACTGGGTTTGATTCTCAGCACCACACACAAATCAATGAATAAAAATAAAGGTTCATCCACAACTAAAATTAAAAAAAAAAAAAAAACAACAATTGTCTCTAGTTATTTGGTTCTGGAAAGGTCAAGCAGGAAGCAAAGAAACCAAAAATGACAAAGCAGCAATTCAGAACCAGCCACACTTTGTTAATTGCTGCTGTTCCCTCAAACACACAGGGTAGTAGGCTGGCATACAGCCTATATCTCCTTAGGGCAAAAATGTATGCCTTGCATGTTCCAAGTATTACAAGTGCAGGTGACATCACTGATTTTTTAGTTCCTCCAAAATGTCACAAAATGTCCCTGATAATGGGGTCCACTTTTCTCTTATGTTGTAACATACTCCTCTATTTTCTGGACAAATTTGTATTTCACAGAGACCTTAAAATTCAACAAACCCAACTTCCTCCTTTTGTAGATTTGGAAGTTAGGACACAGAAAAGTTAAACTGGCCCCTCCAAAGTATCACAGTGAGGTAATGAGTTGCCTTGGGGTCCAGATCCCAGAGTTCCTGAATCCTACCTCTATGTCATTTTCACTATATCGATCTACCTCCTTCAAAAAGTTCAACTGCTTGTTCAAGCTTTTACTGTAAACCTGTATTTGCAAGAGTTTATGGTATGCCCAGTGTTTATCTGAAGCAAGTAAAATAGACAAGTGGCCCTATTCATTCTAAGTATTTAGTACTTTTTTTCCTGGGCATCAGCAAGTGCTGTAACCAAAAAAATCATTAATGGCTATCACAGCTTCTGATTTGCTAAATCAATGGTCAAAGGAAGTTGCATGTATTTTAAGACTGCTAAGGACTGAAAATCAACATTAAAGTCTCTGTCAATATAAAATCTGCCAAGTAATAATGCTCTCTTGAGATGGTGGTGCACGTCTATCATCCCAGCGGCTTAGGAGGTGGAGGGAGGAGGATCACAAGCTCAAAATCAGCTCAGCAACTTAGTGCTGATCCTGACTCTCTTTAGCCACACCTCCTCCCAAGGCCTCAGTCTCTCTATTCATAAAAAGTGGGTTTTTTTGGGGGGGCGTGGTATTTGGTGTTTAACCCAGGGCCTTGCACATGCTAGGCAAGTGCTCTACCACTGAGCTACCCCAGGCCTTTTTGAGACAATTTCGCAAAGTTCCCCAGGCTGGTCCTGAACTCATGATTCTCCTGTCTCAGTCTTCCAAGCAGCTAGGATTACAAGTGTGGATCACCATGCCTGCCAGTTTCCACACATTAAAATTTTTATTGTATTTAAGCACTGGAACTAAGCAAAAGCCAAAAGTGGGCTGAGGCTATAGCTCAGTGGTAGAATGCTTGTTTCAATCCCCAGCACCACAAAGAAAAAAACATTTCTGCATCATTCACAGCAATTTCAAGAAAGAACAAATATTATCTGGTCTAGTGGCTTTTAAACTAAGGCAACCTTTAAATCTACTGTTCCATAAAACTGTAACAAACTTAGAAGGTGTCTGATGAAAAAACCAAGAAAAAAAAAAAAAAAAGAGGGACTGGGGATATAGCTCGGTTTGTACATGCTTGCCTCACAAGCACAAGGCCCTGGGTTCAATCCCCAGCACGGGGGAAAAAAAAAAAAAAGAAATTCACATGCAAAGTTAAAAAATGAAGGGCAAATTTGAGGCAAAACTTTTTCTTTTGTACTAGGAATTTAGTCCAGGGGAGCTTTACTACTAAGCTACATCCCACTCCTTTTTACTTTTTGAGACAGGGTTGTGGCTAAGTTGCTGAGAGCTTCACTAAATTGCAGAGGCTGTCCTCAAACTTGTGAGCTTCCTGTCTCAGCCTCCTGAGTTGCCGGGATTACAGGCATGCACTACTGTATAGAGCTGAGCTAAACTTTTTTTTATTTTTATTTTTAATTTTTCTTTTTTGGTACAAGAGATTGAACCCAAGTGCGCTTAACAACTAACTGAGCCACAACCCCAGTCCTTTTTCTTTTGAGATAGGGTCTCCCTAAGTTGCTTAGGGCCTTGTTAAGTTGCTGAGGGTGGTTTTGAACTCTTGATCCTCCTGTCTCAGCCTCCCAAGTCGCTGGAATCATAGGTGGGTGGCGCCTGGCAATGAGGTCAACTTTTACAACATACATATAAACTATAAATTTCCTTAACAGAGACTTCTTATAAATCGAGAAAAAAACCCAATAAGCCAATAAAAAATTTGCAGAAATACGAACAATCTACATAAAATGAAACACAAATAGCTTAAGTGAAAAGATGTTCAGTAAAATTAAAACATGTGATTCAATTTCTTTCACTTTTAATAATAAAGTCCTACATAAAATATATCAAACACAATTTAACGAGTAATTACAAAATAAACATCTATAAAAATATCATGTAAGATACAGAACTCTGGGGCTGGGGTTATGGCTCAGTGGTAGAGCACTTGCCTAGCAGGTGAGGCTCTGGGTTTGATCCTCAGCACCACATACAAATATATAATAAAATAAAGGTATTGTGCCCATCTACAACTAAAAATTTTTTTAAAAAAGAATTCTACTGTATGAATTTGTAATTTGTTTCATCTACTTCACTCTACAGGACACTGGGGTTATTTCCAGTCCTAAGCTATCATGAACAAGGGTGCTGGGAACTTTCTTGTACATGGCCTCCTGCGTGCTTATGTATGAACTTCTGTGAGGTACACTCAGGAGGGAATTGTTGGGTAAAAGGATATATGTGCCTTTGACTTTGTGAGAGAATGCCAAACTCTCTTCCAAAGTTTACACCAATTTACAACCTCACTCATAGTGTTTGAGAGTTCCTGGTGCTCCATATCTGCTTCAATAACTAGTGGCAGAGTCCTCTGAAGCGTAATATGATTTCCCAAAAGACTAATGAGATTGAACCAACTTTTCATTTGGTTGGTCACTTGGATATCCTCTTGGGGCACTTTCTTACTCTTTTTTCCATTAGACTGACTATGAGTTACAACTTTTCAACTATCAGTTAAGCAGCAATCAAACAGTTTGAAAATACAGTTCAGTGAGAAGATGGAGAAAAAGGCATTCCCACTATTAATAGGAGTATAAACTATCAACAACCCTTTTTTAAAACTTAAAATGCACACACTTTAAGATCCAGTAATTCCACATCAAGGAATCCATTCATCAGGCTGGGATGCAGCTCAGTGGTAGAGCACTTGCCTAGCATGCACAAGGCCCTGGGTTAGATCTGCAGCAGGGCAAAACAACAAAACAACCATTCATCCACTTGCAAACACACAAAGAACTTCAAAAGAATAGACATGGTAGACTCCTTCATAAGAGCAAAATATAGAAACAACTTATAGACTGGTTATCTACACCTAATCCTCCAAAAAAAAAAGGGTAGAACTTTATGTGCTGATAAGGAACAAGCTACAGCAGAGTCAAATGAAGGACCAATGTGTTATGCACTGTGAGCAGTATCTATGCAAAAAAAACAAAAAACAAAAAAAAACAAAGGCATATACAATTACAAACTTATAAATGTCTAGACTATCTTCCAAAGAAGAAACAGGTAACAGGGATGCCTCTGGGAGAACTGAGAGGTACACGTAGGACTTTTCAATATGTATCCTTTGGTTCTTTTACTTGGATCTGTAATCCTAATAATGTTAACATAGTTTAAAATCCAAATATTACAACTCGTTACAGAGTGAAGCTTGTCTCTGATATGCCAGTCACCCTTTTCTCTGCCTACAAGGAATCCCATGTTATCAGTTTCTTCTGCCTGCTTCCAGACGCGCATCTGTTTCACCTTTTCACTTAAAACGGAGTTTAAGACAGACCTATTTTAAATTAACAGTGACCATAAAATGAACAAACGGCCCCTGAGACTTACTCATCATCCTCCGCCTCTCGCTTGTGTTTCTTTTTACAGTGAACGGAAACACTGTTGAAACAAACAAAAACCAGTCAATTGAGCAACCTGTGTGGGCTTCAGTTTCCAGCATCCCGCTCTCTCCAGCCAACAATCCTGCTCACCCGCCACACACCCAGTGTCCCCTTCCTTGCTGAGTGGGATGGAGACAGGTCACAAGGTCAGTCGGGTAATGCTGGGTGGTCCCGACATAACCAGAGACACTGACATGGAACCTTGCCGTTTTGTCAAGGTAATGGGAGATTAGGGAGACCACACTGTGGGCCGTCGGTGCAGGCTGTGGGCTCGGCACTCCTTCCGGACCCATGTCTGTCCCCGCACTGCCGACGAGGAACCGAGCGTCCGAGAGGCACTGAAAGTTGTCACCACCTGCGGCCGAGCTGCGGTCGGCAAGGGGAGCGCGCCGAGTACGCCGAGGTGACACTCGGGCTCAGGTCGCCCGGGTTCCAATCGGAAAAGTCTCACTTCTCCGGGGCGCAGCCGGCCCGAGGCTCCGCCTGGATTCCCGGGCTGGGCGACCTCCGGCGATCTATGGTTAACGTCTCCGGGATCAGCTCCTCCTCCGTACGCGGGGCTGGGAAGCCTCCCGCGGAGGGTGCTGGGGGGGGTTAACGAGCCCGCCCGCCCCGCGCCCGCCGGGCTCCTCACCGTCCGCGCGCCGCGCTCCCGCCGGGGCAGCTCGGGGCGGCGCGGGGTCCCGGCCGCGGGGCCAGCTCCGAGTCGCCGGCTCCCGGCGCGAAGGCCCGGCCGGGGAAGGCCGGCGGCGGCTGCAGGAAGTCCGAACTGCCGCTCAAGGGGAGGCCGCTGAAGGGCCGGCCAAGCGCTGCCATGGCCGGAGAGTCGAGGAAGCTGCGACCGCGGCCCCGGCCACCCGCGTCCCCAGGCCCGGCAGCTGCCGCCACTGCGACTGCCGAGAGGCGCCCGCCTCCAAACCCGCTTCGACCCCACGTCACGCCTTCTAGAACCCTCCACCCCGGGCCGCCCAGGGGCACGCCGGGATTTGTTGTGTGTGGAGGGAGAGCCGCCGCCGGGAGGGATGCTGGGAGTTGTGGTCCTTGCAGACTACAAGCAAGATGGCTGCCCCAGACTCGGTCGTGCGGCTTGAGGATACCCAGCCCTAGCCAGCCTCTAGTGTGAGAGGTGTTCGAGTCCTCGGTCCTCAAGTAAAGTCTCTGTACCTCAGTTTCCTCGGTAATGAAACGGAATATCAACAGTATCTATGTTCAGGGGGCCGATGTGCAAAGAAGTGAATGAATTAAAGCCTCTAGGACTTGGTGGGAGTAACACTGGTAGGGCACATGCTCTGCATACACATGGCCCTCGGTCACTCAGTAGCACCTCAAAAATATGAAGAAAATATCTAGAGCCCTTGGAACACAGCCCAGCACACATGCACTCAATATAACTGTCAATTCCTTCTGTGTTTTCATGTAAATGAACTTGGTGATGCCTTAGAGGGAACAGCATGGAGGATCAGCGAAAACCTCAGAATGCTTGTGAAAGGTACTTTTAGCTTCCCCCTGGAACATCCAGAAGTGACAGGCAATGCCTCTTGATTAAGCTTGGCAGACAGGCTAGTACAGGTGATCCACCTTCATTACTGATCATGCCTTTGGGGGGAGGATACTGGGGTTGAACCCAGGGGTGCTTTACCACCAAGACATCCTCAGTGGTTTTGTTGCTGATGGTTTCCCTAAGTTATTGAGGTTGACCTTGAACAACCTCCCCAATTGCTGGGATTACAGGTGTGTGCAACTGTGCCTGGCAATTAGGCCTCATTTTTAAAATGTCTTGAATGGCGCCATCATCCAGTCTGCCTTAAGTATTAATGACATTGTCAGTGTCCTTCAGCGAAGACCACATAGAATAAAGATGGATTTAATGACTGAATAAAGTGAGGGAGTGGCTCATCTAAAGAGATTCTTAAAGGATTTAGTGTTGCTTTAAGTCATTGGGGAAAGGTTTGAGGAAACTGATGTGACTCCATTTTTAAAACAGCTTCTACCTCAAATCCTGTCCAAGAAAGGGGGCGTGACCCTTGTCCTTGGAAAAACCCACAGAGCCCTCCTAGGCACAGAACCACCCTGCTGAGTTGTTTGTGTCTGCAAATAACAGGAGAGATCTGCAGTGCCAGGTGTCCTGACTCAGTTAGACTAGGTGAAGACCCATAGCAACCCCCTAGCAACCACTAATTAGCAGGAGACAGAGAAAATACCTGGGATGCCAGATGACCCTCCAGTAGTTTATGGTGGTTGATAACATGTTGGGAAACCATGTAGTTTAGCATGTACACCCCTCGTGGCTTAAACTAATCAGTTCAAACAAATCCTCCTCTTGTACTAACCAATCACCCCTACTCAATTTGTTCCCACCAGTGAATGTGCTAATCAAAGTTAAGAGTTGTTGTTTGATTTTCCCGAGGTATGAAATTATTTGCTGTGTGATGTTGTGACATATAGAGTATCCCCCAAAACCTATAAAATCTCACTGAACAAAGGACCAGGACTCACTCCCTGGGACCGCTGCCTCCGGAACGATTGTGAGTCCAGGCTGGAGCTTGCAATAAAGACTCTTGTGTGGTTGCATCAGATTGGGCTCCTGTAGGTCTATTGGGGTCCCACGAATCTGGCATTACAGGTTCCAGAAAGGAGCTTTGCTCTCGAGTTAATACTGTCAAGAAGCAGAGATAATTTTGTGATGTTTATCTTAATCTTTTCAAGAAGGTGGGAGGGACAAAGAACGGCACTAAACCTGGATTTTTGTTCATTTTTGCAGTTTGGATGATGTTCAAGTTTTTGTTTTTTGTACTGATGATTTAACTAAAGGGCGCTTAACCATTGAGTTAGCACCCCCTTCTTTTTTTTGGTACAGGGGAATGAACTTGGAGGCACTCCACAACTGAGCCACATCCCCAGCTTTATTTTGCATTTTATTTAGAGACAGGATCTCACTGAGTTACTTACCAAGGCTGGCTTTGAATTCGTGATTCTCCTGCCTCAGCCTCCTGAGCAGCTGGGATTACATGCCTGCCTTGGAAGGATTTTTTTTTTTTTTTTTTTTTAGTTGTTGATGGATCTTTATTTTATTCATTTATTTGTATGTGATGCTGAGAATCAAATCCAGTGCCTCATATGCATGAGGCAAATGTTCTTTACCACTGAGCCACAACCCCAGCCCTCGAAGGATTTTTTTTTGTGTGTGTGTGTGTGTGGTGCTGGGGATTGAACCCATGGCCTTGTGCATGCCAGGTAAGCACTCTACCAACTGAGCTATATCCCCCAGTTTTTTTTTTTTTTTTTTTTTAAGGTGAGGAATGAAGTGGTCATCTGTAGAAATGACCCGGGATCTAGGTGTGGTTTTTTTGGTTTTTCGTCAGAAAGGCAAAAGCTGTTTTGATGCTATTAGCTAGGCCTTGGTGTCCTCCTATTGAACAACTTTGAAAACAACATGAAAACAAAGCAGGGACCCAGGTTAGTCCAGTGGCAGATTATGTGCCTAGTATGCACAAGGCCCTGTGTTCCATCCCTAGCACTGGAAATAAATTAAAAAAAAAAAAAAAATTGCTTTGAGGAAGGCAGTGTAAGTTCTGCTATAATGTTCCTTAGGGTTTTGGACCCCTGAAAGCAAATTATGGAGAGTTATTATGCATTTTCTCCCACATTAGCCTGGGAAGAGTAGAAACAGAACTTGATGGTGGTCCCTGAAAGCACCCCCTCTTCCTAGTGACAGTCCAGCCATGCCTGTTCCATCTCATCTCATCGCATTGCTGGGGCAGAGACATACACACTTAAGACAATCCCTTCCTGATTCTTTTCTTTTCTCCTGGTAAATAATCATATTTGCTTTTTTTTTTTTTTTTTGGTACTGAGAATTGAACCCAGGGGCACTTTATCACAGAAGTTATCCTCAGTCATTTTATTTATTTGAGACAAGATCTTACTAAATTGCCCAGGCTGACCTTGAATTTGAGATCCTCATGCCTCAGCCTCCTGAGTCACTGGGATTACAGGCATGTGCTACCGCAACCACCTAGATTTTCTTGGATTTTCTATTTAATTTCTCAGTCCCTCCCTGTCACCTCCAAACTTTTGCATATATTTATTTGTCCTCCTCAATGGTTAACAACTGCTATCTCTTGCATCCAAACTGAGCTTTCCAGTACACTGAATAGTGTGGTGTTTCTGGGGCCAGAAGGGCAAGATTATGGGCAAGAGTAAGTAGTTCACCATGGTGGTGCAGGCCTGTAATCTCAGTGACTTGGAAGCTGAGGCAGGAGGATCTCATGTTCAAGACCAGTTTCAATAATTTAGTGAGACTCTAAGCAACTTAGTGAGACCCTGTTTCAAAATAAAAACAAAAAATGGCTGGAGATGTGGCTCAGTGGTAAAATGCCTGAGTTCAATTACTAGTACCAAAAAAAAAAAGGGAAAAAAAGTAAGCAGTTCTATTTGAAACTCTTGGAATACTTTATGAAATGTATTCCTTCTACTACTACTACTTTTTTTTTCCCTCTTTCACCTTCCTCCTCCTCCTCCTCCTTCTTCCTTCTCCTTCATATATATATATATATATATATATTTTTTTTTTTTTTTTTGTACCAGGGATTGAACCCAGAGTTGCTTAACCACTTAGACAATCCTCAGTCCTTTTTTATTTTTTTGAGACAGGGTCTTGCTAAATTGCCTAAGACCTCACTAAGTTGCTGAGGCTGGCCTCAAACATGTGATCTTCCTGCCTAGCCTTCCAAGTCACTGGGATTACAGGTGAGCAGCATTATGCCTGGCTCTGTGAAATGTATTCTGTCATGTAGGCTCCAGGGGCTAGGGGTGTATGCAGCTCAGTCATGGTGCATGTGCTTAGTATATACAAGGCCCTGGGTTCAATCTCCTGAAACAAAAAAGAGCAGCAAAAATGGTAGGCTTGATACTATAGGTTAACTTAAAATATATTAATAATATTCTAAAGATTAGGTTTGTAGCCAGGTGTGGTGGTTTATACCTGCAGTCCCTGCTACCTGGGAAGCTGAGGCAGGAGGACTACTTGAGCCCAGGAGACTGAGACCACCCTCAGCAACATAATGAGACACTGTCTTTAAAAAAAAAAACAAAAAAACCAGGGTCTCACACATGCTAGGTGAGCACTCTACCACTGAGCCACAACCCCAGCTCAGGCTTAATTCTTAATGAGTAGGTTTAAAAATAGGAAATTAGAGATTTTTACACAGCCTGTTGTGATTAATATCAATGAAAGTGACACGCTATTCCTTGGTGCCCATGTCTGAGGCAGAAAAAGGGACAATGGGCCAAGCAATGAAGCATCCCCCTTGTCTCCACATTGTCCCAAGAAGAATGAAGGGTCTCCTGAACACATTCTTGGCTATTCATTGTAAGGGTCCCGTGAAACATCGGAGAAAGAGACCTCCAAGTGACCACTCATGCAATTGGCAGAAGGGGGACTTATTGAACCAGCATGCTGGGGCTCCGTGCCCACTCAAGAAGGGAAAGCAGCCCAGAGCCCCGAGCAGGGGCTGAGCACTGCTTAAGTACACTTTTTGGGGAGGGTGGAGGGCTTTGTATACATCAGAACAAATCATCATGAGGCGCGGGAAAATTGAATAACAACTCCTAAACATGATTGGTTCATTCATTGGCGGGAACAGGTCAGGCTGGAGTGATAGGTCATTCCTAAGGAGGGGGTTACATTTAAACTGATTGGTCCAGGCCCTGCAATGCCTACGTGCGACCACACAGAGCCCTTATTAAACAACCAAATAGTCAGGGGAAATATTTACTGGGCAGTTCCAAGCATTGTCTCAACAGCTACAGAAATTTCAGGTTTTGCAGGTAGCATAGAAACCTAACAATACCTAATCCTTTACATTTTAACTCAGACCTTGCAGCTTAGAAACTTTACAACACCCAGTCTTTTACCCTTTAACTTTTACGCTTTAACTTCAATTTCTTTTACCCTTAAATTCATTACACTCACTGCTCTCATGTGTTTTTTTTTTTTAATCAAATTTATTTATTTATTTTTCCAAATGGATTTATTAATAAGGTTTTACCCAGACACAATTTCTCTTGCAAGGCACTTGAATACGGGGAGAGAGGCCAAGAACAGAAAGAGGGTGGTGGAGAGGAGGGTAGGAGAGGGGGAGGGAGAGGGATGGAAAAGGGGGATGGAGAGGGATGAGAAGGGATAGGAGGGAGAGAGGCAGAGAG